ACAATGGGTTTAAAACATGTAATAAATCAGATAATTACGCCAAGTATTAATTGTTAAGCGACTGTGCTAAAACCACAAAACTCGGGAGTGCCTCACACCTTCTCCCAGGTTAACAGAATTCCTTATCCCGTCTTCTGTGTTCGCAGACCAAAAATAAGAGTCAAATTTTCTCGATTTAGGATTCTAAAATAAATCGGTGACTTGGGACACCATAAATTATTTCAAGTGACGACTCTGAATAAATAAATAATCTCATTTCGAATAATGTCACTTAAATTGAAAAAACTCTTATATCCCTTATCTCCTCGAAAAAAAGGAGGTGTGACAATAAGTATTAAAGAAATAGCCATAGAAATGGACGCATCATGACATTGGTATCCTACAAAGAGACCCCCAGAGGCGGAAGTATTAAAGAAATGGTCATAGAAATGAACGCATCGTGACATCGATTGTCAATTTTAACACATGAATGATTGAATTTGTCAGCAGACACCCTCTTTGGATAGGTACATTAAGGTCTTGAATCAGCCTCTTCATTTAAGGTGGATACAGGGCAAAAACATAGTTTAGTGGTTAATGAGGTTAAAAATATTTATAAGGTCATTGGTTCAATTTTCATTACCTATAATTTTTTTTAATTTTTTTTTAAAACCCCTTAGCAGAAATCATGCGTGCGCCACTGCAGGGCAATGATGTGCTCTCGGAGCAAGGGCGGATTTAGAGCGTCGTTTACAAATTCACACAAACCAGTAATTTTTGTATCCAGAACTGCAGATACTATATATAATATGTATTAAGGAATTCACTAAACGTATATAAATATTTAACTCTGAAATCAGTTATTTTTATAAATTTAACTCGAGGTCGTTGCAGGAATTCATAAACTTCAAATCCTGAATCCATCGCTATCTCAAGGATTCATAAACTTCAAATCCTGAATCCATCGCTATCTCAAGGAGACAAGAAGAACCATTCATAAATTCAGTAATGAAATTGCAAGGCTTTGGAAAAATAATGTCTATGAAAATGGGAAATGAATCTACATGATGAACATGGTATCAAAAAGTTAGATTATACACATACTCTACAATTTTGAATGAAAACTTTTGTGGTTTCAAAATAATTGTGATATTTCACTAAACTGCCAAAAAAAATAAAAACTTTTCAAATACATTCTTGTTTTTATCACTCCTCTTGTTTTTCTTTAGAAATTCCACTACTCTCCTTTTCCTGTCCAGGACCTGAATCTGTAGTTTGTGCTGTACTAGAAGAAGTGCCTTTGGATCTTGATGGTCGAGTCGAGCCAGAGGCCGAACCATCCTCCTTGGACTTCTTTCGTCGCGATTTTTTGGGGATATCGGGGTGGTTTTTAGCTGAAGATTCACTCGATTTGTGACCATCGGACGTTGTTTCCTTGTTATGGTGTCGCCTGGAACTCCTGGATTTGGTCCCAGGTTCTTTGTTTGTAGAATCATGAGTGCCATTTTCTGTAGTAGAATGTCTCCTGGATGTTCTTGGCTTTTCTGGTATAATGTCTTTGGTTGGAGAAGAACTATTTGCATTTCTGGACCTTCTGTTTGAATCTGCAATTCCATTGATATATTGTAAAAAAGAATGAAAAAAATAACATACGCCATCAATCCTCTCATAATAATAGGCGAATCTAAGATTTAAAGTTCGTGCGAGTGTAGTAAGAAAATATACACAATCAAGTTACTTTTAGAAATTGCGGATTAGTAACCTACAACAAATGTTTACTTACCTGGTACACAAAATTACAACTATTATGTAAAGAATTACTTTTTATATTACCGGTTTATATAAGTTAAATTTTAGTTTATAGATTGCTTTAGCATTGTCTAGACTTGTAGGTGTCTCAATCTCGGATATGAAATCATCATCTCCTTCCCACGACCATTTTTCTAGCCTTGCCAACTTGTATAAGGCCAGATATAAGCAGATATTTTATCCGTCTCATTTTGCCTCTGAATTCTTGAAATTTGTAGAAATTGTAACGGCGAGGCCATAGATGAGTCAAACTTCTAACGAAGATCAAATTTTTTCCTTATTAGTATAATAGTGTCAAACTTTTTGAGCATTGAATCATTTCAACATGAAAAATATCACATAAATTAGAAAAAGATAAATACAATAAAGGTTTGAGTTATAAGAAAAAAGAACAATGTGTAATGATGATTACCAAAAATTGAAAGACAAAGGTAAAAAGGTAACACACCTTCAGAAACCCATTTAATATCAGGATTTTCTTTAAGATCTCCAGGAGGAGGAACCAAAGGAGCTGATTGAAATGCTCCTGGTGATTTGAATTCTTTCATCTGCCAAAAACATTTAATTGAAAATATTGAAAATCAGATTTATTCATTAAAAAAAAATCGATTCAATACATTTCTTGTATTGATTATGGTGAACGAAGTAGTTCAATAAGAGATGAATAACCAACAAGGGTTGTGGCGGAGTAGTAAGTACTCCTTCATCCTTAACCAGAGATTTCGGATTCGAGTCCTGGATATGGAACAGATTTTGTCAGGGAGTGTTTGCGAATCCGAATTTAGTCGGATGCCAATATGAATATCGGACACCGAGTAAAAAAAAAAAAGAATAGGAGACGAATAGTTAACATAAGAAATACAACAAGTAAAAGAAGTAAAATAATTATTACCCAGCTTGGATTATCAACTGATGGACCATCCCATCCTATATGTGCAACATGCTTTACATCTGTAGGAAAACCAATTTGCATTTCTTTTTCTTTATCCTCATCTGCAACAATATAAATGATTCAACTGATTCAGAATTGAGTCTTAATTGCACGATCGCTTGACTTGGTGACATTTTCTTCCAATCATATAGAACAATCATTTTCAAGAAAACCAAAAATACCCACAAAGGAAAATGTGAAATAATATTGAAAATTTGTATAATTAAAGATCATTTACTCACCAAAAACTTGAGAAATGTACCTAAGGCCTTTAAGAAGGCCTTTCACCTTTGTGGTCATCTCAACTTAGGTGCAAATATTTATTTCTTCTTCCAAAGGCTTTTCAAGAAGATGATAATTCACCTAAAATCAATCATTTGCTTTTGTTGTATGGAGCAATACATAAAAAATTTGTTGAATTTGGAAAGGGAAACTCAAAATGGACTCAAACCCTAAAAGAAATTTAGGTTTGACTCTTCTCTAATCATAATAAAGAAAAATGATGTTAAAGCAACATTTTCAGTCATTCAATGGCAATGCATTGCAGGTTATTCCTAACCAGAAAGCCTAGCATAGTTTTAGGAATTAGGAATGGGAATTCATTTTTTACTTATTTTTAATCTATTACTTATTATTTTAAGGAGAGTCTTTTATATATTTGTCCTTAATTAGAATCTCTGTCTTCTGACTTTTTCATAGTTGACAACTTTTTGAAGCCTAAACATGGTAGCCACTAAAATGTAATAATGAAATTTTCTTATTTGTGGATATTTTTTATGGGTGCAAATGGATTAAAAAAAAATCATCCTTTAAAAACATGCCACAATTATTAACAGCTTGTTTGGATGGTTGTTACATGTCGTTTCATAATGTATATTATATTGTACTGTATTGTATTGTATTGTTTAATGAATACAATGTTTGAATAGATTGTATCGTTTACCATCGTTTCATGATGCAACGCACTAACAATATGAAGAATAAGTTTGCATCATTACCAAGAAAAAATAGAATACAAAATAGAATTATTATATTAAAAAAAGAAAAAGAGTAAAATATAATTATTTAATAATAAGGAAGGACAAGATGAGAGGGAAAAAATGAGGTAACGACGTCACCACACCAAATTCGTCGTTTCATAAAATGACATTTTTCGTCGTTACGTAACGGCGCATTTAACGATACGATACAATAAAATTTATTAACAATCAAAACAAACGTTATTTAAAATAATAATACGATAAACAATGACTAATACACATCAATCTCAAACTAGTCAAGATAGATTGTACAAATTCTTAATACATAGTTCGCTTCATCCTTGCTAACTCAACTCATTCCAAATTCAATACTTATTTCGGTATAATTTTCACAAATGTACATATTTCTAAACATACTAGAAAGTAATGGCGGAGCCACCTTAAAGAAAAGGGGTGTCAAATTGACACCCCTTCGCGGGAAAAATACTCTGTGTAGTTAGGTAAAAAATAAATTATATGTATATATATTATGCATTGACTTCCCTTAATTTTCTGATATGTTTACTTTTATATATTTTGACACCCCTTAACGAAAATTCTGACTTCCTAAAAAGATTCCTAGCAAGCGTGGAACCTAGTGTACACGTACAATCATGACTAAACTGTAATTCCAACTAGTTGGTACCACATGTTTAATTTGCTTTAATTGTGTTATACTTTCACTAATAAGTCTGCATTATTACAAGAGATTATAAGATATTTTAAGTCTTTCGAGACAACTTAGTTCTCTTTTAAAATCGCAAACCAATTCTGCATGCATTTTGAAAGAATAAACAAGATTCTCTCTTGATCTTTTAAATTTTTCAATGATATAGTAATACATGCATTTTTTTTAAAAAGGAAAAAAGTCCAACTATATCCCTAACATTTGTAATTTGTCTTACCTATCGGTCCACGAAGGCCTCCTACGTTACCTTTTGTCTCAAAGATGCCCCTTTCACTAACGGTTTTCAACCGCATTGGGAAAGATTTGAACTTTTTTCAATTGTTTTAGGAGTATATTTGTACATTTGCAATTGTTGAGGGGCATGCTTCAAATTATTGCAGATGAGTGGCTCCACCTTCGCAAATGTCAGAACCAAGATGGACATCACTTAGAGGGCAGCGCGATGTACTAAGCTACCGCTATGCGCGGGGTTCGGGAAAGGGCCGGACCACAAGGGTCTATTGTACGCAGTCTTACCCTGCATTTCTGCAAGAAATACAGATAAAATGAAACTCCGTGATTTCATGCTCCTATATTCTCAGATTCAGGAATGTGATTCAAATATTTCAACCACCAAAAATACATCATGTACATTTCATATCAAAACTATTATGTACAAGCTCCTTTCTTTGTAGAAAGAGAAACTGCACACCAAGTTCAAGAAGAGACACCACTCATCAATAAAAGAGGGAGAAATCACTCCCACCAGAAAAAAATGGAAATATAATTTTTTTTTTTTAAAAAATACAACAAAACTTTGACCAAAGGGGGTGCTCGCTGCAGTGAGGAATAGCAACTCCAACTAGGATCTTTTGACCTGCATTAAGTATAGTATGAGACAACTAAAATGTTGATATCAATGTTCATGTACCAGATTGAAGGAGCGGAGGGACGAATTTTTTCTTGAGTTTAACTTTTATACACTGACATTGTAGAAGAACTTTTACACTATCAAGTTATCTAAAAGATAACTACATGTAATTGTCCAAAACAATTTGGATTGGTAACCTAAAAAATAAGACAAATAACCTACTACAATTGGTTAAAAAACATTTGCTAGTGTAAAAATTCTATACCTGTCAGAGTAATAACTTAAATCCTTTCTTCTTTTTCCTTTTTTCTTTGAGGGGTGTGTGTGTGTTTGGGGGGGGGGGGGGGGTGAAGCAGAGAACGGTGAATAAAGAAACTTGCCTTGTTCAAGTACTTCTTATGAACCTTCAGAGCCTTATTTAGTGCTTTCTTTGCATCCAAATTCCCAGTTATCTCACCCACAATCTGGAAAAGATGTCGCTGTCAGGACCAAAGAGATACAATAATGTGGATTACACGGACAAGGGGAGAGATTGAAACGAGACCTGGACAACATCATCTAGGCCCTTTGCCTCTTTCATTAGCTGCTTTTTCTTCGTCTCAAGAACACTTGCAACTAGGAAAATGGCAAGGGCATCATTCTGTTTTATTGCACCAGTTCTCACTTTTTTCCTCTCAAATTTGCCATACTGCTTTAGCTGCTTATCATTTACTTTACCATCATATACTAGCTCGGGAAGTTGTTCCCGTGTGTTGTCATACAATGAATATCTCTTTGGGTTGTACTCCATGGCCCACATCACCTGAATGAAGTATGTACAAAAGTAATATCAGTTAGAAAACTAAAATAATTCCAACCTACAATTGCTCATCACTCGTCCTGTTTCACAGTTGAAGATACAAATACCCTCGTCCTTTATGTCAAACTAATTTATGTGATACTCTTCTAAAACACAAAAAGCACAGATTGCCAAGTTGAGTAACTTTTATTGTGAGAAGTTAAGAATTTGCCAAGTAAAACAATGGAACAAAATTACTCATACCCAGTGTTTAACCAAACTGTATCAGTTTATTATGGTTAGTCATAAAATTGAGATGAGAATGTGTATTAAATTAACTATGATTAAGTGATAACATTATATGCAAATACACATGTCATATGTTTATTGGATTTGTGTAAACACGAGTAGGGGTATGCTTTTTCTCTAAAACAATCATGTCTCTTAAAAGCAAAGCAAAGAATAGAGTCTCACTTCAGTCAGTTACACCAAAGACCAGGCCAAACTATTTTGCAATATTTTTGTCTGTCTACCAAACAATAATGTGAAAAGAAGTTTGCTTCTCACCTCCCAAAGATAGAGTGCATCGATAAATGAGAGCTCTCTGCGGAAAAGTACCATCAGCATGCGTAACGCAAATAGATATTCTCCACCATCTAACTCCTCTGCCAATTACAATTGAAGTCGGTGAGTGAGAGAAAGAGAGTTAGCTCTATTTTAGACTTTCTCCTCCCTATTTTAGACTCTGGTCAAGATTGCAGTTTGTGATTTTAACAATTTAGATTGCCAAGATATTTCCATGAATATTTTGCACTATCCCCAATGTCCCAAACAACATATATGAGGGCTGTTTTTAACATGGAAAATCCATTCTTTACAATGATTAACGTTATGATATGCGAGTTTGGCCCCAACTTAATAAACAATACAGACATTCAAATTATCCATCAGAATCTGCAAAAGGACTGCTAGATGATTTAATTTAATTAATTTTTTGATAGGTGCTAAACAACGTGTTTATATTGCCTGCATCACTTCAAGTACAATATGTACGTCTTGCGGTAGTCAATAACAAACTTGGACTGCATGCATTAAGAGCTTAACAAGATAAATCACGATTTTATAGAACATATCATCAGAATACATCGCGGGCTAGGATCAAGTCACATAATGTGAAGAAGGGGAGCCAATTAAACTACCGTGGAATGAGACAGGATAAAAGCACAAGCTGAAGCATACATATAAACCACGTTGTGCAACCTCTAACAGAAATAAGTTAAGTTTCTCTACAATACAAAGTGCTCTAACTCACAAAAAGCCCAAACTTTTTTACTAAGACCTATATTAGATATTAGTTTATCTATCTAATACCGAGAACTATATGATATGGCATGCTAGGTAAATTAACAGCGTTGACAAGACATTGTGTTCTCTACTTCTTACATGGGAATAGCTACTGAAAATATATAAAGAAAAGCAACCTCTTACCAAGGTGTTGATGAAGCTTCGGATCAACAGTTTTAACAATTTGTGCAAGGGTACTTAGTTGAGATTGCACTCCTATCGAATTTGTGGTGCACTTGAAATTTTCTCGCTGTTGATGAAGCAGACATGGACTTGTTATATGTTCAGTAATGGCAGAAACATAGGAAATAATTAGCAAAAACATTGAACAAGTTTTTAGAAAGAGTTACTAAAGCACATAAATATATGTGCAAGTTTATTGGGGCCATATTTATCCATTTTAGGTTTGCAACACGTCCTCTCACATTTTTCTCTCGAGCCAAGCACATCAAAGTTCTTTATTTTATAGCGAGCGGCAGTGAGACTTGAACTTAAGACTTCAACTTTTCTCTTATGACATTTTGAATTTTGTGACAATCTCATCTAAAATCTTAAGATGTTAGAGAAAGAACGCATTTATTTGTTTATTTATTTATTTATTTTAGGTTGGTAACAACCATGAATAGAAACAATAAAGGCATACCAATCTACGCATTGCACGTTCGAAGCACCAGAATGCATCTGCTTCATTCTCAAGTAGAATAACCATTGGGGAGCAAATGTCTGTCATTCCTGTGCAGATAAAAAGGTTTTATGAATGGCTTTGATATTATTAACAATTAGTTTCTAAAATACTGTTATAATACCTTGAACATAACCAATATCTTTATCCATCCATGCATAGACAGCAAGCACGTCCCAGAGTTTTGCCTGATTAGCTTGATTCTCATAAAATACAAGAGCACGATCAGTGCGAACAACATCCAGACCTAAAGCAACATCACAAGCCATTACAGTTTTAGATATTGTCAGGAAAATCAGTCTACAATTGATGAACTGGCTTCCTTACCAAAGCCAAACAATAGTGCACTAAGCAATAACATCTATTCCACAAGGAGATTGCAATTTCACTTTTTTCGCCACTTATTATCTCTCTAAGTGACATGTTCCCTCTTTAACTCAGCATCTAGAGTACACCAACTAGCAATGAAGTAAAAGATGTCATTGTCTCATCATTTGTTGAACATAGCACATCTCTCTAACCAAAACATTTTATGGCCTTTCATCTGTATTTTGTAGCAGCTCGTAGTGATAAATGACCAGCTCCAAAGAAATGTCAAAAGGTTGAGTCGCTCATTCTAAATCTAAACGCTCCTCCAACATTCAATTCTTCCTCCCCCGCATCTGAATTTCATTGAACTACACAATGACTAATTGACACAAATTTTTCACACATAATTACTGTATTGGAATAGCAATATTGCATGTATCAATCCCTTCATCTCAATTACCATATCCAATGGGGGTGGGTGGGGGTAGGGAGCAAACATGTTTAGAATAATAAATTTGGTTATATTCTGCACAACTAGGAACTACGTCAAAGTAATCGTTATGTTGACTATTTAAGTTTAGTCGTAAAAGCATAATTCATGAAGAGCAAAGTGGGATAACAGTCGATTATTGGGAATTAAATGTTCAAACTGGAAAGCATTTGAGGACATGAACGAAAAATATTAACAGATGAACTGGAAAGAGAATGTACAATTGACATTCAAGTTTTTCTGAGAGACAGACAGAGATACAGCTAGAGAAATAGATATAGGGACCTCCACAGGAATTATAGAATGTATAAAGTTAGCATATTAAAACTAGAGAATACTAGTGGCACGAGTACTAACCAATTTGGGACAAGTTAAGCTTCCACTGAATTACTTTCTTGTCACAAACGCCATTATTGACTGGCAGGGCACTGTTAGTATCTTGTACATCACTGGAAGTGTTCGCATGCTCTTTAGGTTGGCCATCATCAGTGACTATAGCATTTGTGGTAAATTTTCCACTGCCAATTAAAGGTACAATCTTTTGGCATTCAGATTTCCATGCAGCATACTGCTCTCTGAGGATACAAATTCAGATTTTTAGGCCACTCATAAATAGGTTGTAAGAAATTTACCAAAGGAAAAAAACCGCTATGAGGAGGAAAAAGAAGGCACGGGTGTGTTTTCCGCTGATAGTGACAGTATCCTGTTATAAATTTTGTTTTCCAGGCAATAACATATTTTTACTTCACTCTTCTTATTTCCCTTGGGAGTCAGGTCTAATAATATTTAATACACATTTAACTGTTTCGCAACACCCATTTTCAATCTAATGTCAAGACTCAAGAATCGAGATATTGGAGAATTTAATGATCAAGGGGTTAATTTCCACTAGCAACCTGTAGCGAAGGGTCCTTTTAATAAGAACATTAACTAAACCGAGCTAAAACTAAGGCACTTGGCTCAAGCTTGGATTTGACCTTATGGAGAGCTTTGGTTAAACAAGAATCTCAAGCCGAGTCCAAGTTGGTTCACCTCGATGCCCTGACCTAACTAGATGATAAGGTTGACCTTTGATAGGAATAGCTATAGAGCGTGAGAAATTTGTTGCATACTCCCTCCGTCCCAATTTTATGTGACACTCTTTCCTTTTAGCCAGTCCTAAAAAGAATGACACCGTTCTATATTTAGTAACAATTTAACTTTTAAATGCTCATTTCACCCTTAGTGAGATGATTTATAGTCACACAAATATTATGGCTCATTTTAGACCACAAGTTCTAAAAATTTGTCTTTCTTCCTTAAACTTTGTGCTCAATCAAACATCGTTACATAAATTGGGACGGAGGGAGTAATTTAAACCGAGGGCCCTTTGACAGTTACATGGATTCATGCATCAAAGTGAACAAAATTCAATGCATAACCCCTATAGTTTTGATTGCTGATTTTACTTCTATTATTTGTTGTCTATATTAGACCAGTTTAACTCTTTGGCTATAGCTGAAATGACTTAGATTACCTTCGCCGTTGTCTAAGCTCATTTCTCTCCTCAAATGTGCTATTGGGATCAAAACAACCCAGCAAGAACTCCCAGACAGCCCCTTTTATTGATGGATGAATCCCCTATCATTCACAGAATAATAAAATAAGCGTCAAACTTCTTAAGACATAAGTTTCCATCTAAACAGCAATAAGCAGATTGAGTATTGGTGAATGGTGATAGACAATGATTCTATATAATGAACTCAATGGACGTGCTAATGGTGGATCAGATTATCCGCCTAATATAGAAGCCTAACCAATGCTACACTGAAATGTTATTCCAGTCCATGAATAAGTTTACCAGATAAGTGTTGGTATAATTTAAGACTTTTCTAAACTGTCCAATTCAAACCAACAAGCGATTGTAGCGTAGGTAAAACAATTGTTGCCCGGGAATAAGAGAACTGGTTGTTTCCCCTTTATTATTGTTTGCAGAGCAGTTAAAACTTCTTATATCATCATAAATTTCTACCATTTAACACAAAAAGATCCTTAAACATTTTTCCTATTAAGGCTCCCAATGAAGATGTCATTGCTGGAAAATCATCAACAGAATGATCCTTCTATTTTTGTTATGGGTAACGGAATAATCCTTTTATAAGTGAAGATGAACTTGGTTTTCCGTACCTTCAGCAGTTCATCACTTGCACAAAATGAGGGTCTATTATACACCAAAAGTCTGGCAATTGAATGGCAATTGAAGATTACAAGATGAATGTACAGTATGTAATGGAATCTGGTTCAAGTTAAAATCTCACTTGGGGGCAAAAAAGATTAATAAAAAAATATGAACTGTTTGCATTCACCCAAAAACAAAAACAGAAAAAGCAGATTAATTTGTGCTTAATGACAAGTAGTATGAGGGTCAGTGTTGTTCAACTAGGCCAAAGTCATGAAAAGGACTAACTAGGAGAAAGAGACCAAAAGTAGAATGCATATCATCTTAGAAAATTGCTATCAAAAGCTAAAGTTGGAGTTATCAAGAAGGAATCGACAACATGAACTAGCACGAAATGACAATGTGGCATACTAGATTTATTTAGAATATGCATTGTACAAGAGAGAGAAAAAAAAGATGTACCCTCGTTGGATTAGGAAATGCTATCTAAAGCTAATAAAGCTGGAGTTACCAAGAAGGAATTGACAGCATGAACTAGTGCAAAATCCAGGAAAAAAAGGGCTACCTACTGTCAGAATGAAGTACCAAAGTGGAGCAGTCATAAAAGCAAGGTGGTCCATTAATAGGTGTCCGATGTCACAAATTGAGAGATTACAAGATAGAATGAAGAATAAACAACTGAAATTGGATTCTCTACCAAGTAGCAATTAATTTTCAAAGGAACCACACAAACAGATGTAACCAGGTTGTTTCGGCCAAAACAACCACCATCAATTTGTAGAATCTTTTAGGTTTTAGAGCAATCCATTTGACATGATCATGTATCCGTTCATAGGCAAATGACAATGCGCCATAGTGAATTTATTTAGAGTACACATTGTACAAGAGAGAGAGAAAAAAAGGTATACCCCCCGTTGGATTCGTCTAAGAACACCTGCTATATCCAAATAACCCTCTTGAGAGAATGCAGCATTCCATCTTCTTTCACTGAGAGTTCTTCCTACCTAACAAACACTTCCCCACAAAAAAAGAAAGTGCACAAAGGTAACATAGTGAATAAATCTATCATGAGCATTTAATAAATAATTATAAATCATTTCTTCAGGTATTCAAGCATGTACTGTAGTTTCTTTTGCAATTATTCAGGTATTGACCTAATAGATAAATTATAGATTTATATTTCTCCCAACCAAAGGGGAGAAAAGTGAAAACTAAAATCAAACAATCAAAGAAAAAACTGAAGTAGTTGATTTTAAAGAGTATTTTAACGCTGACCGTCAACCTACCATAACCAGATGCAGCCTTGTTTACAGGGTTCAACTGAATAGACTATAGAGTAATTAGTAAAATTTCAACAAATATTAAATTTTGAGCCCACAATTTCAAAAGTGTAATGAATTCAATTGTAAGAACTTAAAAGGCTTAACTCATCAAATTTAAATTCTAGATCTTCCTCTAACCAGAATCTCCTCTTTTTATCTGGAATTGTGCATATAAACTTATTCTTAGATTGGTTTTACTACATAGCGTATAATTGTTCGATAGCATTAGTATTAGTATGTTGTCTTTTATTCTTAGATTGTCATTACTAACTAGCGTATAATTGTTCTTTTGGCTTCAGTTTTCTTCTTTTCTCTTGTTGTTGTTAATACTTACTGCCTTCACTTCCCTTCATCCTTTCTTTAGCCGAGGGTCTATCGAAAAAAGTCTTTCCACCCTTCCATCCCCAGACCCCACTCGTGAGAATTCACTTGATTTTTTTTTTTTTTTTTTTTT